CCCCCCAGGAGGTCACACAGCCCCTGCTGAAGTTAATAAATACTATGGGGGTGCAAGGAGCTGCCCCCTTCCTCGAGGCAGGATTTACTCTGATGCAGTTCACATTCCAGAATTCACTGTAGGACAGAGCTGAAGCTTCAATCCAGCTAAAACCACATGCTTCCTCAGTAATGTCGCCTTCCTCTCCTGCTCGGCACTTCTCCGCAGGTTCCCCTGAGAACACTCTTCAGTAAAGCCCCTCCACAGGCACCCCCATCTTGGGCTCTGCTGCTAGGGAACCTGGCCTGTGACACTTCGAGAAGCCCATGGAAGCCAATTAAAATGAACATTTATTATTTTTAGCCTGCCACCTTTCAATGTCTACCAATCTGGCCAATTTCATGTGTTTAATCCACAGACACAAGCACACACACTAAATAGCCTTCAGATTATAGGTTGAAGGTAGGCTGGAATCTATAGTAGCCCATGTCTCCTATCTGAGCATCCCAATAAATAGACAAAATAGACTTTCCACCCGCCAGACCCATTTCCCAATGCAATGCACAGACCAGATCGCAAGGCTCATTTTCCATCTGTGTTCTTACCCGTGGAGACTGGGCTAGCACCACTCTTCTGTTCTATTACAGGGAGTTTCCTTTCCTAACACTATCAACTCTGTGTGAGGCAAGCTGGCTCTGTTTTAATTACTGCTTGATATGTGATATTCTTTAATTCCAATTCACAGAATTAAAAAGAAACCACAACTTGGGTAAAGTTCGACTGAGCGCCATCCGCGTGCCTGACGATGCTGAGGCCAATCTAGACCACATCAAAGAGAAAAACATCATTTGTCTTTTGTTGCAAGAATTAAAAGCACAATACTAATCAACGCTCCCATCAGGGAGCACCTAAGTCTGCTCAGGGAAGCAAAGTTCCTTGACTTAAAGCCTTCGAAGGGGGAGGCCGCATCTCCCGGGAGCAACTTATCCACAGCGGGGGGTCTGCGCTTGCTGGTGTTCACCTTGACAGCACCGGCTGGTGCCCTTTCACTTGGCAGATGGATGGGGAGCCCACCCTGGCTGACCTCCTCAAACTACCTTTAGCCAATGGAAAGCTTCCTTACCCACAGTTGTTAGCGATATTGGCTTTCCTGCAATTTTTTTAAAGCATGGTCTTTCTTCTGCTTTGTACGTTTTTTGCTCTCCCGCTAATGCTGTGAGATAGAACATGGGGATTTCCTTGGTGATGAATTATCAGAGCTACTTAGGAGCTGCTGCAGTGAGCACCCTGGTCTCCACCAGAGCATGGCTATCCTGAGATATGGACCCAGCTCCCAGTTACTGCTGTGCCACCCATTAAACTCTCTGGCCCAGAAACTTCTGCAAAGAGGATGATAATATCTACTTCACAAAGTTACTGTCAGGAGTAGAAAACAAGAACATATGGAAACTCCCCAGCATGGGACACCTCTTAGATGTTTGATAAATATTAATGGTCCTCTCCCCCACTGATGTCCTCGATTTCTGTATTGTTTCCACCAACCAAAGTTCTCATACAGTATGGTGGTCAAGGGCGTGACTCCTTTGAACCCAGGGCAGGAAACGGTTTGGGGAACAATGTTTGATGTGGGTGTTCTGAGGGAACCCACATAAAGTGCCTACCTGGTGGTCGTGCGGATGGTGTTTTCTTTTGTGTGATTGTGCTCTTTGCTCACTTTTTCTGTAAGGAGAGAGAAGGGAACATACCTCTTAGGTCATTCACATGCAGCAACTTGTGGCTTTTAAGGCTTCAGCTGAAAAAGCCTTAACATTTCTTTCTCTCTTGTGGTATTCATTTTGGTTTCTCTTTTAAACAGCCAAACCCTCCCTATCCTAATGGTAAAGACCATCATCAGACGCATGGAGATAGCACCCACAAAAATATTTGATTAAAAACCAATCCAAGGGAATCAGTTACCAACAAATTCCAAGCATGTTGTCTGGTTTTAATCAGGCCTGAATAAGTACATGCGCACACACACACACACACACACACACACGCACAAAGATAGTTATTTCTACTGGATCTTTTCCCAGCTGAAAATTTCTGCTTTCCTCTGATTCAGCATGAAAACTGCCGTTGTTGCAACTGTTCCGCTCCTGACTTTGATGACAACCTCTGAGCATTCTGTATTGTTGGGCCCCTTTGTGAGAGGGGATATAAAAACAGCCATAAGACCGACCTCTGGGTGCTGCAGTCACCAAGCACTTATTCTGATAAATGTCACAAGGGACATAAAATATCATTAGACAAGAAGAGGTAAACCCTCCCTTACTCTGTCTTGAGGTCTGTATCTACCAGCTGTCAGGAGTTATTTAATTAGCTTTCAAGAACACAAACGTTGAACTCTGGCCTTCCCAACGCAGTTCAAATGTGAGGATTCTGCCCTGACTGTCACAGCGCTCAATGGCTTCTTTTAAGTGTCCAGAGAAAACCCGGCCAACTCTACAAGGGTTTCAGGTTTCAACGGCAGGGCAAGTAAAGAAACTTCTCATCTTAACGGATTTTTGGAAAAATTTCAACAAAGATTTACAACATCTGTCCCATGCTCTGGAGCTGCTGCCTGCCAGTTTGCGTGGACAATTCCTTTCTGTCCACTCGCTAGTGACAATGAGGGTGAATTTAGATTCCCAGGCAGTATTCTTTTAGAAAGCAGGAAATCGGGGCTAAATGACTCGCCTGAGGTCACCCAGACAGTTGTGACAGTGCCAGGGTGAGAACTCTCAGACACAAAGTTTTGAGCTGATAGCAGACTGTGATAATGTACTCTCAGAGACGAGACTGAAAGGAACCTCGCTGGCCTCACTTTCGCCAGTTTTAACTGCTAAATCATCTTCAAAGTTATACTGTTTTTAGATATGTTCTCAGACTTTAAAAAAAAAAAAAAAAGCATCTTGCACGTTTTGGAGCTTTTTGGAGCTTGCAAAGATCTTTGTGTCCTATTAAGTGGGCAGAATTAACTCTTTCCACCTCGGCAGAGCTCTGCACAAATACAGTCCTTGTTTGAGAACCTGGAGGCCTCCATTTTCGGCACCAACTATAGTGTCACAGGTGTGGGGTGTGTGGCTGGGCCAACGGAAGGTGGACTATCATAGTGGCACACGGATTCTAGCTTCTCTTCTCTTTCCTGGTATTTTTCTTAGTGGGGCAAACAGGATAATACTTAAACAAGGAGGCATCTAATGGGTGCTTTAAATTTGTTATCCGTAACAGAAGGGCTTATCCAGCAAACTTGACTGATGCATGAACTGTAACATGTAGACTTGGCTGTGGACAAGGGGGGCGTATCTCTATGTAAATATAAATCTTATTTGTGTTTGTATCACCAGCCTCGATCATGTTCAATCGGTTAAGGACAGTAGTATGCAGCTCGAAAGTGTTATTTAACAAAGGGAAAATTTAGGCACTAGAAAACTCAACTATTCTATCAAGACACTTAGCTGAGCTGGTAATTACTGCACTTTTGAATTCAAAGTATTCAAAGTAGACACAATTGGTTTACAGAAAATGTTCTACTAGGCTAGAGCCAGAAAAAAACCCTCCCTCTTGATCTTTTGCTTTTCCCTTTCCTTGATTTTTTTTTTTTTTTTGGCAAGATACAGTAAAATCTCATTAATTCAGACCACACTAATTTGGAATTCATGGTAATTCAGTCACTGTTGGAGTAAACTGAAGTTTATCTTTTGCACATTAGAAAAAAAAAAAAAGGCTGTTAATCAGATCAACTGCCTAAACAAAATTAGAGGTGAGACGTGTAGCCCAGTCAACAGGGATCGTTTGCACAGAATTGAATAGAGTTCTAATTTCAAACGATTCTTAACTATTTATTAAAGAAAGTTTGGCAGCAGTTCAACTTGGCAACATTTTAGTAACTGAGTTTGAGTTGCAGTAGGCATGTTCAAGTAACAAAATCGATTTCTGTCTAAAAAAAATATCCTATCACGTGGGTCTTTTTACTTCGAGTGGCTTTCCTTGCAATTATTCCCGATTATTCCCGATTTCCTTGCAAGTATGCCCTTAAACATACCTGACAGTTGAAACAGGAGCTCGGAAGCCATCTTCACAGAGATGTCCTGACTGAAGAGGTTCCTCTCTGGGGGCACCCTGCCCTCTGGCATCTTCTGTAAGGGTTCGGTTTTCTCTCGCCCGATTAAAGTGCTATAGCCAACGTTCCGGCTGGGTGATATCGAGACACGCGAGTCCTGGATGTCGACCTCCATGGGCTCCTCTTTAATCTTCACCATCTGGGTTTCCTTGTAGCTTTCCGCTGCAAGCGGGTGCATGAAGAGAAAAACACGTTTCTTAATTCGGAACCAAACCCAGTTTTCTCATCACACAGAAAACTGTGAAGAGGATGTCAAGCAGCAGTTTAGAAGAGAGAGCTGTGGCACAGTGAAACAGAGTTGGGAAAACTACTAGTTTAACCCATTTGGTTCCCTGAAAAAGTAGGACACTGAAGCCTGGAAAATGAAGTGACTTGCCCAAGGCCACACAAGTGGCAGCAGGACCAGGCCTAGGTCTCCAGATCTGGAACTCAGGGTTCTGGACCAGGGGCTCCTGGCCATCCCCATGCACTCCCTCCTTCCCCTCTGCCATGCTGCTTCCAGAACTTGCAGAGAAGATGGTGTCTGTCTGTCTTTGTTTTATAACTTAACTTCGATGAATCAAATTAGAGCTTGCATATTAATATAATGATTTTCTCCCTCTATTTTTAAAGCTCTGATGATTTTTTTTCTTTCTCTTCTAGGGCGCCTAAATTAATAAAGGATAAATAGAGTTGATTCAACGAAAACGTTTAGGCCTTGCTGGGAGGTAGTAATCCTCAAGACCACCTGGGAAGTTAATTGCAGCCTAAGGATTAACATTTAGAAAAACAGCAATCTTGCAGGTTATAATAACCATTCAATTGATGGACTGTTCTTGCTTTAGGTGTGACTATTAGATGTTTGGTCTCTGGGCTGAAACATGCATTCACTTTGCAAGGCTGGAGTGCCTTTATGTCCACGGGTCCCTTAGAGCTAATGGCAGAACATCTTTAGAACAAGGTGAGGCAATTAGCCCAGTCATTAATTTGGGTCATTTAAAAATAAGGCCACACTTTCAAATCAATAAGCATTTATTCGTAGCTACTATGTATTCAGCATTCCAGAAAACAGAAAACAGACAGAGTAGGGAATTTTATGGTGACCCCCCCAAAAGATATATCTATGTCTTAACACTAGGAACCCGTGAATGTAACCTTATTTTGATAAAAAGGTATTTGCAAATGTGATTAAGTTAAGCATCTCAAGATGAGATCATCCCGGATTATCCAGTAGGCCCTAAATCCAATGACAAGTGTCCTTATACTAGACAGAAGGGGACAAGACACGGAGACAGTGGAAAACGTCATGTGAAGACAGACACAGTGCTGTAGCCTGAATGTTTATGCCCCACCCAAATTAATATGTTGAAACCTAATCCCCAGTGAGATGGTATTTAAAGGTGGGGCCTTTGGGAGGTGTTTAGGTGATAAGGGTAAAGCCCTCATGAATGGGATTAGTGCCCTTACAAAGAAGACCCCAGAGAGCTCCGTGGCCACTTCTGCAGTGTAAGGACACTGCAAAAAGATGCCTTTCTATGAACCAGGAAGAGGGGCCTCACCAGACACCAAGTATCAGGACTCTGATCTCAGACTTCCCAGTGCAAAACTATGAGAAATAAATTTCTGTTGTTTATAAGCCACCTGGTCCATGGTGTTCTATGTTAGCAGCCCAAAGACAGTAACACAGAGACTGGAGTTATGCAGCACAAGCTAGGGATCGCATGGGGCCACCAGAAACTAGAACAGGGAAGGAAAGACCTCCCCTAGAGCTTTCAGATTTCAGACTTCTGGCCCCTAGGCCACGAAGGAATACATTTCTGTTGTTTTAAGCTACCAAGTTTGTAGTAATTGGTGATGGATTGATGGGTAGATGGATGGATGGACGGACAGACAGGTAGATAAAACAATAAGAACAAATGTAAAGCAGATGTTGACCTGTGGGACAGTCAGGGGATGTGAAGCGGGAAATCTCATTGCTGTAAACTGGGTGGTCAGAGAAAACTATGCTTTCCTTGCCAAGTATGAGACAGGTGAAAGTCAAGTACGTGTATAGTTTATTGATTTGCAATAAAGAAGATAGAGGAGCATATTTAATTACATGGTTAAAATTAATATGGTGCTATCAATAAGCTCTTATGTAAGAAGTGTGCTAATTGTTCTTTTTTCCTCTTGACATACTACACATGCTTCTCAGGGAAAACGACTTGGTTTTTGTCAGCAACTAAACTGCAGGCAACTGTTACACTTAATTTAGATCCCCTCCCCCTTCCCCTAGCTCTGCCAAGCTGTTTTTTCTCTGTATGTCTGTGAAACCACGTTTCTTGATTCAATCATGCTAAAAATAAGTAAAATAAAAAGAATACAAAGCTTTGCAAGTTACACGTTTAGCTTCCTTCCCTCTACTTCCAGTCCATCTAATTCTTCCTTGAGTACTGACCACACCCCCTGTCCCCTTAGGAATCTGGTGACCTGAGAGCCCTCCTGACTTCCAGCTGGGTCACCCATTGGTGTAGTCACAACACACATTTCCCCTCTTTGTGTTCTCTCCAAGTGCTTTTATATGAAAAATAAATAGTGGGGTCAGTGTCGCAGGTACGTAATGATGTCTCTGAACCCTGCAAGTCATTCCCAAGCTTGAAGACAAACACAAAGGAATATTAGAAAGGGATTCATTTAGTTTAAAAAAAAATCTCAACAACATACAGAGCAAAGCTAGAAAGAAGCTCCATTACTGCCCCCACCTTCCCCCCACACCTTTCCCCAGCTTTGCCCCTGGATTAAAAAGCACTTGGCTGTTTGCGCCACTGAATTTAATGAAATTTGTTTTCAAAAGCTACTTGGGATAATTTCAAGAACGATTTCCATGAAGTGCTTTCTTCCCTTTCTTATGACAACCCTTGACTTTTCAAACATGCACAAAACACTGACCACTGATAACAGCCTTTAGCATTCTTAATCTACCCAATGGACTCCAGACTCGCGGAGGAGAGCTTTCAAGCTGACGTCTCAATGGGCAAGTGAGGCATAATGTAATCAATATTTTTATAGTCCTTGCTCTTCCAGGCATTATTGCCACGTGTTTCCTTGCCTCCTTTCCTTAAGCAGGGTTTCTCAGCCTCAGCGTTGCTGACATTTGGGGCCAGATACTCCTTTGCTGTGGGAGGCTGTGTGGTGCACTGTAATATGTTTAGCAACAACCCTGGTCTCCACCCACTAGATGCCAGTGTCGCCGTCCCCCTAATTGTGACCACCGCAGATAACTCCAGACATTGCCAATGTTCTCGGGGGGGGGGCAAAATCAACCCAACCGAAAACCACTGCTGTGAAGTTTTTGCCACACTCTAGTCTTCAGCCCCCTCCTCCAAATTTAATCAGCACCCATGGCTTGAATGAAGAAAAAGCTCCTCACAAGCCGTAGCTCATTATTTTTGTTTTTTATTGAATTTATTGGGGTGACATTGGTTAATGAAATTATATAGGTTTCAGGTGTACAATTCTATAACACATCATCTGTATATTGCATTGTGTGTTCACCACCCCAAGTCAAGTCCTCTTATATCACCACTTAATCCCCCTTATACCCTCTTCTACCTCTCCCCACCCCCCTTTCTTGAAAGTTGTAGCTTAGGCTCCCCTGTGTATTCATCACCTTCACAGCCAGGTGTGGGGACAGGCTGGCTTAGGATGCAAGAGGCAGGCTGACTTGGGAACAGGGTGTCTGCTATAGATCCCACTTGGTCCCTGGCCCACTCCTTCCCTTTAGCCTGGGGCATCCGAACATACCAATGGTTGAATGAATCATTTCACTGACATAGCTTTGACTCCCACACCCAGGGACAGGTCTACACATCCAGGATTTTATTCTTTCCCATCATCTTCCCCCTTCCATACACATAACAGATCTTTTTAGAATCTCTTTCTAAAATAACAGGACAAATATTAATTTTACCCCAAGTGGCCTACACTGTTATTCCAAGAAAGAAATTGGCACATGGAAAAAGATGAGAGGCCGTGTTAACAGTAGGTTATGCCTGGGAGGTGGATTGCAAGTGACTGTTTATTGCAATGCTTATTTGTATTTTGTAATTTTTCTCTAAAAAATATGGATATTTTGTTGTAAAAAAAAGATGATATGTCCTCTTTAGAAGTGTTTAGAACACTGTGTGTGCTGGGAGCTTTGAAAGAGTTGGTCTGTGAATCAGATAAGCCCTATTCAAACTCTGCTTGGCAACGGGTGGAGGGGGGAGCAATGAGAATGCAATAATTCTGTCTTTTCTACTTTCATAAGCATAATACATACCAGCCATCAAACTGTATTATTTCATTCGTCAGTCATTTGGTCATTCTATAATCTTTTTAAAAATGTCTACTATGTGCTAAGTACTATGATATATGATGGGTGGGACACAGAGGCAAATAAGACATAGTTCCTTCCCTCAAGCAGTTTAAATCTACATGAATGAGCAGACAGTGCCAACAGCCCTCTAATGCAAGAAGTGAAATGAAAATACAGTGTGGGAAGAAGAGTTAAGGAAGACCGTGAACCAAAGCACAGAGGTGGAATTGTACTCCTCCCGGGGCGATCGGGGAATATCGCATTGTCTGGTTTGGCTAGAGGGCGGACACTGAGAGGTGGAACTGGTACCTTGAATAAGCAGCACTCACAGGGTGTAAACATAAAAGCAACTCTATGTTTTGTGGTCCATTGTCTCTTTAAACCTGCCTGGTAGGAAGAGTTCCTCCCCTTTCCCTGGGGGAAAGAAAGGTCAGGCAAGCGCATACCTGATAATGCTTAGATGATACAAAACCTAAAAACCCCTTCAAACAGCGAAACAGTCTTGATTCAGCATAGGGAAGACCGGGTCCCACGTGCTAATTCACACTTCCACCCTCCTTCGGAGGTAAGTCCTCTCCGCTGTCTGGAGGACTCTGCTGGTTACCTGTTACAGGGGGAGGGGAGAGGGTGGTGGGCTTTCTCCCTTCCCCGTGCTTTCTGCCCAACACACCAGCTGCCCTTTCAGACCCCAGAGAAGGGCTGGGGGGGGGGCGGGGGGGAGAGAGGTGAAGGGAATAAGAAAGGTGTTACTTCACTCCCCTTTTCTAGAAAGGTTTTACCTTCTTCAGGCCAGCAGGTGGTTATGGGATTTGTGCATGGGGTCTTTGGAGACCTATAACTTTGGCCT